TGAAAGCATCATCAACAACACTGCTATAGGGACAAAGTATGACTTACAAAATTAGACTTTTGAGTCTTATATAGAGGTCCTGGTGTGGTGCTGTGGGATAAAGCATTGGACCACAAAATGGGTTTGAACCAAAAGGTTGGTGGTTCAAACTCACCAACCACTCCTTGGGAATCTTACGCGGGGTTGCTATGAGTCAGGATCAATTCCAGGGCACTTAATAACAACCTAGGAGGTTAGGATGTTAAAAATCACATGCCTCATCAGAATCACACTTTCTCCTCGAGGTTTTGCTAAGTGATGTGACACATAAAAAACAAAAAACTGACTGCCTTCAAGTTTATTCTGACTCTTAATGATCTTATAGGAGATAGAAGCTAGCAGGATTTCTGAGATTGTAAATCTTTATGGAAGTTGTTGTTGTTAAGTGCCGTGGAGTCGGTTCCGACCCATAGCGACCCTGTACAGGGTTTCCGAGGCTGTAAATCTTTACGGGAGCAGAAAACCTCATCTTTCTCCCGCGGAGCAGCTGGTAGTTTCGAACTGCTGGCCTTGCGGTTCACAGCCCGATTCGTAACCACTACGCTACCAGAGCTCCTTTTGACAACAGGCTAATAAACCTTTGCAACACATTTTAATTAATCCAGTTGGAAGTAGATAGCTTCATCTTTCTCCAGTGGAGTGGCTGGTGGGTTTGAATTGCCAATCTTGTGGTCAGTTCAACACTTAACCCACTGCACCACCAGGGGTCCTGAGATATTAGCAAATATCAGATACTGTGGAGTCATTTTAAATATTCAACTGGATTAATTAAAATGTGTTGCAAGGGTTAATTAGCCTGTTGTCATTGTTAAGTGCTGTAGAGTCTATTCTGACTCACAGTGACCCTGTATAGTGTTTCCAAGGAGTGTCTGGTGGGTTTGAACCACCGACCTTGCACTTCAAACTGACCTTGAGGTCCAGCACATTATCCTATAGTGCCATACCAGTGACTCCTTAATTAGCCTACATTTATGCCCGTATTTACAAATGATGGTTGGCACTTCCACTTCAAAGTGCATTTCTGAAAAGAACATGATTATTCATTTGATCTGTAAACATTCCTCTGGGGTCTACTCTGAATCTAACACCATGGAAACATTGTGGGAATTAGTACATTCAGTGAGAAATCAGCTCTCTACCTTCCAGAGCCTACTCTTCTATAGAGGAAATTGTTGTTGTTAAGTGCCATTGAGTCGGTTCCGACCCATAGCGACCCTGTATAGGGTTTCCGCGGAGCAGCTGGTGAACTTGAACTGCCGACCTTGCAGTTCAAATGGCTTTGCAGTCTGGCGCCTTAACCCACAGCGCCACACCTAGAAAATGTAAAACAAATGATTAGGAGCACACAGCAACATATTACAGGAGGAACACGGCTACAATGGTGTAGCCCAGGTGATGATTTTCAGACTCAAGAGCTTCAAATACTTTTATTTTTACTATTAGTGATAAATCAGCAAGAGAAGACGTATAGAAAGCCAGAATTAATCATTTTAACAATGAATGTTGAGTATTGAATGCTTTGACACTGAACTGTACTTCATATGCATCACTTTTGTCAATTCTTACAACACCGCTCATGACTAAGTACTAATTTTTGGTATTAAATAGCTACAGAAAGTGTAATTTAGAGAGAGTTAGTTGTATGTTATTTTCTCAGATATAATAGTGTTTGCTGAATTGACTGTGGACTAAGGAGGGCTTAACGCAAAAATGGAGTCCTGGTGTTTAATGTGCTGGACTGCAAAGTAGGTTTGAGCCACAAGGTCGGTGGTTCAAACTCACCAGATGCTCCTTGAAAACCCTATACAGGGTTGCTATAGGTAGGAACTGACTTGATGGCACTTAACAGCAACAACAACAACAACTTATCAGGACTCCTGGTGTGGTGCTGTAGGATTAGCACTGGACTTTGAACCACAAAGTCGGCAGTTCAAACCTACCAGCTGCTCCTTGGAAACTCTATACAGGGTCGCTATGAGTTAGAAGTGACTCAATGACACTTAACAACAATAACAAAAAGTAACTTGTTAGAGTCACAGTGGGGATGTAGAACTTGATTCAGGGCTAGATGATAGCAGAACCCAACCAAAATTTTATATTTTAAAGTTTTCCTGGGGAAAAAAAGAAAACAAACAACTGATAGCATTGTTTCTTGAAGGAAGACAGGAAATTAATATTGATAAAATACATTTCTCTTAATAGCATTTTATGATGCAACCTAAACTTTAATTTTGGTTAAGAACTGAAATTGAGAGTATGTGAGACTGATATCTTAATTTTTTTCCATGAAATGTTTTAATGACATTAAAATATAAGTGTACATTTTCTGATTACCGTGGTTTCTTATAAGAAGTATAGAGTTGTTAGAAATTTCCCAGTGTTTAACTAAATCCTGGTGTGGTGCTGTAAGATTAAGCTCTGGACCACAAGGTTGAGTTCAGATGCAAGGCTGACAGTTCAAACCCACCAGCCACTCCTCAGAAACCGTATGCAGGATCACTATGTGTCAGAACCTACTCAACACCACTTAACAACAATAATAATATTAGCATAGCCCAGTAATGGCCTGATAAATAATCAACACAATTACCAAAGTTAATTAATTGTGAGTTATTAAATGGTTTCTAGGTGAAAGATGTTATATATAATGTATTAGGTTATAAAAAAGCCCTTCAGGCCTGAAGGAAAGTAGAATCTCCAGTGAGTAGTATCCAATCTGTCTAGGCAGGGCTGATGAAATGAAATGCATATAGGTCTCTTGTGATACAATAGTGAATAATTGTTATCAGGATTGATTGTGAGGGTTGGAAATGTAAAGGTAGACATTTTATAGCAAGGAGGGGAGTGATTAACTTTCCAGTCTAGGAGCAGAGGTCCCTAGGACCATCAATGGAGAATAGCGGAGAACAGGACCCTACCCCAAGAAGCAGTAATGCCTGAGATGGAGGCAGAGACAATGACTTGGAGAGAGGGCGCAGCTGGGGACCTGAGATTAAGAGAGAGAGAGAGAGAGGGGCTGTGTGCTGGTGACTGGGTGGGGGGTGGGGGACAGGCTTGCAGGGTATACCCTTTGGTTAGTTGATGATGCATGGAGGGAATCGTAACCATGGCAATGAAATGACATATGATAGAATGAATGTAAAACTAATGTTCTCCCATGTAAACTATCACATAATTCACAATAAAACATTTTTAAAAAAGAAAAAGAAAAAGGCCCTTCTGGAAATATTTAGAATGAAAGATTTTTGTTAAGTTTGTTTTGTTCTAAAATCTTTCTAGACATATAAAAAAAATCAAATGTAGAAGAATATTAAGGAAAAAAGAATTGCTGTCATATACTCAAACTGAACATGAGCACAAATTAGATTCTTACAACATTTTTTTTTTTCAATCTAGGTTTCCTAAATAATACAGAATTATGATGCTTTCTAGGGAAGGTATAAGAAAGTTATTCAGGGCTCCAAATATATTGCATGTGTCCGGATACTTTCATTGGCAAATAATAAAGAGGTCTGATTTAGCTGGGTTTAAACAAAAATCAATTTGTTATATAAAAAGAAGTCCAAAGGTAGGGCCCACTCTAGGTCTAAATCTTGAGGACTTAAGCCCTGGCTCTCCTGATTCTTCCTCAGTTTCACTGGCAGGAACTCCCTTCTACACTCATATATGTAAGACAATAGTTTCAGGAGAAATACACTATCATAATAATATTCAGTGATGCAAACCAACTATCTCTCCCATTTTTCTTTTCTTAAGATGAATATATCTTTGCCAAGGTAACCCAGCAGAGATCTCTTACATCTCACTGGCCAAAATTGAATCACATAGCCATTCAGAAACGTCATTGGCCAAGAGAATGGGACTACTGTTATTAACTCAGGATAATCAGAATCTACCTCTTGAGTCGTGGTTGAACACAGGGTCTTCTAAAGCATATGGCATGTGAAGGAGGGACGATACTAACAATGATATCAGAGTTTGATTAGGAGGGAGAAAGATGAATGGCTACTGGGTAGCCAACCAATAATGGCTACATGTTGCTGAGAAGGCCACAACTGTAGAGAACAAATAATCTTCTGCAATTCTCCTGAGGTTGACGCTTTGATTTCTAGATGGTCTCCAACAATGGTATTTATTTCCTTCATAACCATAGCGTCTTAGAAATTTAAGTTAAAAGGGGCCATTCTGAGACTCAGATTGTTTAATGCCTTGCCCGAAGTCACACAATAAATTAATAGCAAAGCCAAGGGCAGGGTTTCTTGATTTTCAGCACAGGGTGTTTTCTTTCATTCTTTATCCATGAGACTTACAACTGCTGGAACTGCTTTAAAAACTCATGGCAAGCATTGGTCTCTTTTGTAATGAATAGCTCCTTATATTACATTAATTTTGTTTGTTCAGCCACCTAAAAACTAAATTGAATATGTGCTTTAAAAAACCTGCTGCGGTTCTTAGAATTCTCTGTTTTTCTACCATGTGCATGAACCACCAATGGGTTTCTCTTCACATCTGATATAGATTCCTCTCAATGTCTCTCTCTATTTCTTCCCCATCTTCTCTTGTTCCATCCACAACCAACTTCCTGTTTCTAAATAGACTTTGTGGTCACCCTCCCTCTTTGGGCCAGATTCTAGCCTTTAGTTATTTAGGTTGTGGTCTGTATTGTTCTTTCTACAGCCTACTCAGCTGTGGCTATCCAAATACCCACATTGTTCTATGTCCCCAAACTGGGTTCTGGAATTATTTTGGTAACTACTGCACTGGGTGAGATTCAAACTAATAATTAAGATGTTGGACGAGTTTCTCCAATTACAAGTTCTCTCCTGTTTATACAATCCAAGAGAAGTTGCTTATTGTACTTTTGCTATGTACAATGTACTTATAGCATGTGATTTATAACTTACCACAAACCTGAATGCCTATGTGAACTCCTTTGCATTTCTTTTTATCTCTAGGACAAGATGTTGATAAATATAAAAAGCATCTTATGGATGTGCTCTACTTTAATAGCAACCCATGCACTACATAAAGGTGAGTGTGGTAACAATTTTGTTGGTGCTATTTGAACCTAAAAGTTGAGGACTAGGGGATAAAATGGCAGCGTGGAATCACTGAGAATAAAAGATCCAGTCTATATATAGAATTTCAACTTGTGATATTATTTGGCTGAAATAGTTGTTTTATATAAATGAATAAAAAATAATGAATAATATACTACAGTAGCAAGTGAACATTCATTAACTACCCAGATTGGTTTCAAACTGTGAGCAAAGGCTTCTATCTGACATTGGAGTATTCTACAATACTACATAAAAAAAAAAAAAAGAAAGATCATTGAGAATGTAAAAGTCTAGAGTTTAAAAAGGGTCAAGAAAATAAAGAGAATACTGACAACCAAGTTTTAGCCCCCGTGAGTCTCTTTCTTTTTAAAAGTAATTAGACAAGTGCATAGGTATTCTTTCTCTTAGCTTTAAATTTTATATCCACCTAATTGATGTTCTGTAATTCCAACTTTATTACTTAACATAGTTAAGAAATATAATGGAAATGGTAGAAAAATCGAGTAAACAGCATGGAATTTTAGTGATCTGGGTTCTGACTAGTGTACCTCTCCTGACTCAACTTCCATTTCTTCTCTATGTTCAATCTGTGCTACAGATGTTTTAAAAAAAGGTGGAATTTCATGCACAGACTTTCATCCTTCCTTGGGTTTGCTCATAATAAATCCCTCTTTTCTCTATTTCCTACAGTTAATCCTCCAAGTCATTCTTTAACACTCAAGTTTAAGCATCACTTTTTGTTTTTCTTTCTTACTGCCGTTCCTTCCTTCCTTCCCTTTCTTTCTTCTGTTTTCTGGGTATCTGGGGAATACCATGAAACTTAATCTTCTAGCTATAGGAGACAAGCAACAAACAAGTAAATGGGTAACTGAGCCAGGCAATTTGAAATGGATGAAAATAAAGCAGGATGATATTGTAGAGAATGGGCTCTGCTGGGGAAAGGCCTCTGGACTCCTTGTGTGGTGCTGTAAGATCAGCATTGGACTGCGAACCGCAAAGTAGACAGTTCAAACCCACCACCTGCTTCTTGGAAGTACTATTCAGGGTTGTTATGAGTTGGAAATGACTCCTTGGCACTTAAAAACAATAAAAAAGCAGAGTGTCTGGCACATTTTCAGCACTTAATTATTTTATATGTTGAGTGAATAAGTGAATGAATAAACAAATGATTAAATAAATGAGTGTCTCTGTGTACAACCTAGATGGCAATCAGAGTATAGGCTCCACTCATCTGTTATTTTCAGGCAGTTAAGTACTGGTGCAGATCACGACATGAAAGGGCAACGACATTCAATGAAGAGGGAGAGCTTGTAAAGGAGAGATCCAGAGAGAGCAGTTTGCTTGGGTGGGCAGTAATGGGAAGAAAATGACAGAGAAAGTAATGAGAGAAACTTGAGGGACAGGGTAGCCATCCCAACACTTCAAACAGATTTTAGACTTTCCACTTAAAACAAAGAAACAATTCACAAAAATAATAGAAGGGGGGCGGGGGGGGGGAGGACAACTACTTATGTGGTAGCTCTTTGACAGTAGTTTAAAGTTATAATAATAAATCATGAGATTGAGTAATTTCTTGGTACCAGGCCCTGTTCTAAGACTATTCCATAGTTCATTTATATAATCTTAACCTTCCAACGAGGCAAATACTTTTATTGTCCCTTTTGTTACACTTCTATTATATTTTGCAGATGTAGAAGCTGCAACACAAAGAGCCTTGGAGACATAACTCATGTGTCAGATCACACAGCTAGTTAGTAGTGGAGCCAGACATTGAACCAGGCAGTCAGGCTCCATGGTCTAGACCCGTAACCAACTCTAAGGATCAAGTTCTTTGTAAATCTATGATTACAATTAAGAGATATAATTAAACTCGGGTTGATTTCAAGAGGATTTAATTTTTTTCATATTAGAGGCAAAATAGAAAACTTTAGAGTCACACAAAGTCAATTTGCTAAGTCCATAGTAAGGAGCTCTGGTAGCATGTTGTTGTTGTTGTCAGGTGCCATCGAGTTGGAACCGACTCATAGTGACCCCATGCACAGCAGAATGAAACAATGTTCGATTCTGGGCCAACCTCACTACCGCTGCCACACTTGAGTCCATCAATGATGGACCTGGCCAATCCATCTCGTTAGGGGTCTTCCTCTTTTTCTCTGACTCTCCACCTTACCCAGCATGACATCCTTCTCCAGCAACTGTTCCCTCCGGACAATATGTCCAAAGTATGAGAGACAAAGCTTAGCCATCTTGGCCTTCAAGGAGCACTCTGGCTGTACTTCTTCCAAAACAGATCTATTGGTTCTTTTGGCAGAGTGGTTATGAATTCGTCTGCTAACGTCAAGGTCAGCAGTTCAAAACTACCAGCTGTTCCATGGGAGAAAGATGAGGTGTTCTGCTCCTGTAAAGATTTACAGCCTAGGAAACCGTGTACAGGGTCACTTTGAGTCGGAACCGACTCCATGGCACATAGCAACAACAACAACCAGGTCCATAGTGGGATACAGTAATACCTTATCTGAATGCAAGTACTTGCATTTTAACGTTTTCTGTTTATTATAAGATACTGTAAGAGACCAATGACTAGAATGAATGAATACATTGTATATTGATTGTTGGTTTCGTGCTAATACAGGAAGAGCTCTCCGCTTTAACAGTTCCCATTATATTAGGTTACAAACGGTCTTAATTAGTGATTCTCTAGCATTGACCTAGTTATTGGACTAGTTCTCTAATGGTAAGAAATGGAGTCATGTACAGTCATGAGTCATTGACTGATGAAGGACAGTGATATTTACCATTTGACAGAGATAAATTCCCATATTCTCAATCTGACATCTATTTGGCCAAGGTTTCTGTGTGTGTATGTGTGTGTGTTTAGTCAAATTGTGCAGATGGAATTTACATTATCCTTACTTGGCAGAATTTACTGACAGAGAATGAGGGGTAATTGATCATTCATTATTTAGATCTTTCTCCCTTACTGTACGCATTGAGACCAAAACCATCTGGTGGGAACAGTGAGTTTTTGTTAGCATTTATTTTTAGTATTTATATTGCCAGAGTCTCAGACAGGTTCTTGCAGGTAGCAGACCTTTGTTGTTGTTAGCATAGTCCATAAACATAATATACTAAACTATGACATTTCTTTCTTGAAATATTTAAATCTACTGAACTTAGTTCTTCTTGCCCAGTGCATTAAGACCCAAGATTTAATACACAAAGATTTGACCAAATAACTTTTTGTTTATCTTGTTGGTAAGCTAGATTCTACATGAATATACATTTATATCCAGCCTTACTTAAAAATTAATTAATTAAAAAGCGTACTTAATCTTATTGTCCTTATATCTAGAAACATCCAGAACAATAAAAAGTCCTTGGGAAATTTGTTCTTTGATATCATTTTGTCCCAATGTTTTCTTTTTAGAACCATGCCAATTATTTAGCAAGGTCCTAAAATTCAGAAATTTCCTTATTGGATAGATTGGGTTGAATCCTGTGTGTGCCCCTACACATTTAAAATTATGAAAAGGATGTATAATCCAGTTATAAATATTAAGGAATTGGTGGTGGTAGTTGTGTGCCTTCAGGTCGGTTATGACTCACTGCCACCCTGTGTAGGGTTTCCAAGGCTGCAAATCTTTCTAGGAGCAGAAAGTTTGCTCTTTCTCCCTTAGAGTGACAAGTGGACTCGAACTACTCTCCGTTCAGTTGGTAGCCCATCTCTTGACCCAGTATAATACAGAGCTTTCTAGCAGCCATTTATCTTATATTCATTTTGAAAAAGAGTCTTATAAGTTATACCATAATTGAAGCATCCCGGTGTGGTGCTGTGGGTTAATGCACCAGTCTGCAAAGTTGTTTAAACTACAAGGTTGGCTGTTCAATCTCAGTAGCTGCTCCTTGGAAACCCTATACAGGGTCACTATGGGTCGGAACTGACTCGACGGCACTTAACAACAACAATAACAACAACTATAATTGAAGTTGATGGCCAAGCTGTTTATTCTCCATTAAAAAGAAAAATAAAAGCAATTGTATTATTTGGGGTAGAGAAAATCATCTAATTCTTCCGGAAACAAGCTAAAAATATTTCATAGAGCAGATGATGAATGTAGGAGTCCTGTGTGGTGCTGTAGGATAAACACTGGATTACAAGATCTGTTTGAACCACAAGACCAGTGGTTCAAACTCACCAGCCACTCCTGAGAAACCCTGTATAGGTCACTATTGAGTCAGCACTATTGAATCAGCACTAAACCCTGTATAGGTCACTATTAGTCAGCACTGACTCAAAGGCACCTAGCAACAACAATGATTATGAATTTAAATTAGAAGGTTTCAACCCATAGTTCTCAGCCAGTTCCTTTTCAGGAAGCCCATATTCTGCAAATAATTAAAAAAGTTCAAGGTATCTTTATGCTGTTATGTCATTCATTGAGTTCAAATTTAAGAAATATGTAACAAGTAGGGTCGCTGTGAGTCAGAACTGACTTGATGACACTTGACAACAACAACAAGGTTCACTCTCAGGATGTCACTTGTGGACTTTATGAACTTATTTTAAAAATATTGAAATATCTAAAAGGTAGTAATTGAAGAATTATCTAAGATGGGTCTAGCCTCTGAGGATAGAGTCCTCATGGCACAATGGGTTAAGCATTGGACTACTAGCCACAAGGTTGGTGTTTCAAGCCCACTGGCTGCTCCACAAAAGAAAGATGAAGATTTCTGCTCCGGGAAAGATTTACAGCCTCTGAAAGCCAGGGTCACTGTGAGTGGGAATGGACTCACAGGCACTTAACAACAACAATAATAGTGATGCTAAGGACGTAGGCTGAGGGTGTCTGCTCTGGTAAACCTAATTGGGATTGACAGTCTTGGGAAACCTAATGAGCAGAGAAACCCTACTTGGTCCTGTAGAGGTGCCATGAATCAAATATGGACTCAGTGGCAGTCTGTTTGATTTTGTATGTTTAGACTGTGAGGAGTCCTTGGGTAATGCAAATAGCTAATACATTTGGCTGCTAATCGAAAGGTTCAAGGTTTGAGTCCACTCAAAGACACCTCAGAAGAAATGCCTGGTCATCTATTTCCTATAAATAAGCCACTGACGACCCTATGGAGTACAGTTCTACTTTGACACACATGGGATCATAATGAGTTGAAATGGACTCTCTGTCAACTGGTTGGTTAGGTCCTGACATGGAACTAAAACTAAGACTTCTTATGACATTTAATTTTGAAATTGGGGGTGAACCAAATCAATACCAAACCTAAAACATTCAATTCACTGTAAAGAGACATGTGTTCTGGCCCAGGTCCTGTCACTGGCCTGTCGTGAGCTGGAATGTCACTTCCACTCCTTGGAGCATCCGTAGTAAGGGATTTGACCAGTGTTATTCTGAGATGGCGCTTTAAGTAAGATCATTTATTTTCTAAGTCAAAATAGTCATTGAAAATGGAACTGTTCTGGTCTGATAGTCCAGAATGCTGATAATCTCAGTAACATTTTAAAGATTAATAAAATGCAGCTGATTGTTGTTGTTGTTAAGTGCTGTCGAGTCAATTCAGACTCATAGCGACCCTGTGTAGGGTGTCTGAGGATTTTAAATCTTTGCGGGAACAGAAAGCCTCACCTTTAACAATAGAGTATAGTTTTCCCTTAAAGCATAATATCTCTATAATTATCTTGCAACAGTTTTCAAAATATCTCATCTGCATGGGTTTATATAAAAACTATATGTTCATGTTGAGATGTGTGTTAGCAATACCTTGACCATAACAGACACTAAATGTTAGGTACACATGTCTAACATCTAAACATCTCTAATATAAATTAAATATCATTTTATCACTCCAATAGTGGTTATTGGAGTCCTGGTATGGTCTGTGGGTTAATAAGCTAGACTGCAAGGTTGGTCTGAACCGTAAGGTTGACAGTTCAAGCTCACCAGCCGCTCCTTGGAAACTTATACAGGGTCTCCATGAGTCAGAACTGACTCTACGGCACTTAACAACAGCAACAAAAGTGGTTATTATACAAGTGTAGACCGTATTTTAATGAAGTGGGGTTTACTTGTGCATTGTTGTTGTTGTTAAGTACCGTGGAGTTGGTTCCGACTCATAGTGACCCTACACAGGGTTTCCAAGGCTGTAAATCTTTACGGGAGCAGAAAGCCTCATCTTTCTCCTGCAGAACAGCTGGTAGTTTCGAACTGCTCACCTTGAGGTTAGCAGCCTGATTCGTAACCACTATGCTACCAGAGCTCCTTAACTTGTTCATTAAACAGTAAATTATATTCGTATTACCAACATGTGTTTTAAGCCTAATTTGTAGGTCCCTAGGGTAGGGAATGGATTCCTGTAAGAGTGAAAGAACATTTTCTTTTACATGTAATGATGCTGAAATGTATTCTTGATTATTATGAGTTCAAGGGCTTAAATAGAAAGACATTCTGCAGATAAATATTTTAGGAGGGCTAGGTAAACAAGGGCAGGAGCAATGTGGGTTAATGCACTGGATTGCAAAGTTAGTTTGAACCATAAGGTCGGTAGTTCAAGCTCACCAGCCACTCCTTGGAAACTCTATACAGGGTCGCTATGGGTTGGAACAGACTCGACGGCACTTAACAACAACAGGTGAACAGTAGAGTCCTGGTGTGGTGCTGTAGGATAGCTCTGGATTGAAAAGTCGGTTTAAGTCGCAAGGTCGACCGTTTAAAACCACTAGCCACTCCTCAGAGACTGGTATTATGAGTCAGAACCCATTCTAAGGCACTTAACAACAGGTGAATGAATAGTAGACAACTTTTTCCTCAGGAGATAGATAACTGTTTCATTGTCAAGTGACTGGTGCTGAATTTGCTATTTTGATGAAAGCATTGGTTCAAACAAAAGACCAAAGAGTATCCTTTTAAGTATTAGATGTATCCCAGCTCCAATCCAGTGAAGTCCTTTTACAAAAATTCTCACTTCTTTCTTTGAATTTATCACCATTTTCTCTAAGGTAACATGGGAGTTCTCTTAAATGTGTTTCATCGTCTTATCTATAGACATAATTTTTACCTTCCAGCTGTTCTTTTACCCTTTTTGCCCTTGATTGCCTTTTATGCTTAGCTTATTTTACCACATGTTTTGTTCATGTTGAACACTAAATTACAAATGCTTTAAAATGGCCCATATATTTCAATACATAAAAGGAGAGTTATTAATCTTCATCTTTGTTATAAAACATTTTAAGATGTTATTTTCTATATATAGAATCATTCTGATTGTTTCGTATATTGAAAGTAGAAGCCAAACCACTGTAAGATGACTTGTCCACTTACATATTTAATATGCTCAGTTTGTTTTAGTTTATATTTTTTCAGACTCTTAATCTGGTGTTTTTCATTTCTTCTAGCCAATATGGAAAGCAACCCTCCTGTTAAGGGCTTCCTCTCTGAAAAAGTCATCCTACCTTGTCATTTTCCAACCATGCCTACCTTGCCACCTAATTATAACACAACCAGTGAATTTCTTCGAATCAAATGGTCTAAAATTGAAGTGGACAAAAGCGGAAAGGATTTAAAGGAGACTACTGTTCTGGTGGCCCAGAATGGGAATATCAAGATTGGCCAGGGCTACAAAGGGAGAGTGTCTGTGCCTACACATCCAGAAAATGTGGGTGATGCCTCACTCACTGTGGTCAAGCTGCGTGCAAGTGATGCGGGTCTCTACCGCTGTGATGTCATGTACGGCATTGAAGACACACAAGACACCGTGCCTTTGGTAGTAGAAGGTAAGGCTTTGGGAACCTGTAAGATAGTAGTAGAGAATATTACCTGATTTAGAATTCCTGTGAAAGGACATGCAAAAGTATTTCTGTTATTCAGGGTTTGAATAAGTGGGAAAAACATCAATCTAATCAACAGTTCTGGGGTCAAGGCAGGTGATTCTGTCTTGTTGTTGTTTCAAACCGTTGACCTTAAGGTTAGCAGCCCTACTTGTAACCATTATGCAATAAATCATACATTTTGCTTCATCTGGACGATTGCAATCCCCTCCATGCAACAACATTATCCCATTTCTTCCCTGTGGTTCCTATTTACACTCCACCCTTCTTCCCATCCTTTCTCAACATTGTCCTTAGTTCAATGTGGCCCTTTGGATTTTGAGTGATTGGCCATTTCATGAAGTATAGCTTACTAGTGTTGTTGTCCCCTCTATATAACTATCTACTGCTTGGCTGAAAATTGGGTCATGAGAGAGTGTTCAGTTCTAGACTAGAAGGGCGGTCTAGGATTATAGTCTCAGTTTCCTCTAGTCTATCCGAACAGTGGTGGTGATGGTGATTGTGTTCCATGGAGTCAGTTTTGACTCATAGTGACCCTGTATAGTATTTCCGAGGAGACTGTAAATCTTGACTGGCACAGAAAGGCTCATCTTTCTCCTGCGGAGTGACTGGTAAATTCGAACTGAGATCTTGCCCTGTGATTAGCAGCCCACTTATAACCCGCTGCGCTACCAGAGCTCCTTTTCTAAACAGTAAACAGAACAGTAAAAATACTTTTAAAAAATAATTTTAGATTGTCTGCATTTTCTGCCATTGTATCTGAGACTTTCTAATGTGATCCTTTTCTGAACAGTTGTATCTGGGCATCATCTAAAAGCAGATGACTTTATGTGATTAAAAAAAAAATGTGGATTAATTAAATGTAGCATAGTATATTGTTGTTCTGTGGAGCTGATTCTGACTCATGTTATTGGTAAGTGCTATCAAGTTGGTTCCGACTCATGGCGACCTTATATAGGGTTTCTGAGGCTGTACATCTTTGCAGGAGCAGAAAGCCTTATCTTTCTCTCATGGAGTAGATGGTGGATGCTTGAGTCACCGACTTTGTGGTTCAAAGCCCAGTGCTTATCGTATAGAGACACTAGCTCCCTGTCCTGACTCATATTGACTCTAAATGACCAAATAGAACTGCCCATTGAGTTTCTAGCCTGTGATCTTTACATAGCAGATAATGAGGGTTTTTTACCTACAGAACCACTAGTGGGTTTGAACCAGCAACTTTTAAACTCTGAACCATTGCAATACAAGAGCTCCTTAGTGAAGTATGTTGTTGTTCTGTGCCCAGTATACTGGATTAATGTATACTTCAGTACATGATAAACAGTTCAGTATGCATTATTTCAATGTTAAGATCCATCAGTGCCAACTCTTGAAGACAGTAAAGCATGACCTACATTTTTTCAATACTTATTTACTTATATTTAACTTATTGTCCCCTTGTTTTCTCACTTTCTTAATATGATTTAAATTTTAAAAAAATTTTAAATACATAAATACTATTTTATGTTGAAAAGTCAGTACTGTGGTACATATCACGTTGCCTTTAAAATGTCAGTATTAAATAAATATTGAGTTGGACAAAAAGAAAAAGAATTTATTGCAATGTTTTTTAGGGCTAATATGTTAGTTATCTATTACGTCTTTCAATGAGATACTTCAGTTTTATCCCTTTTCAGTTGTAGTTTATATGTCATTTGAATTTAAGTTAGGAGAGAAAGCAAAGAAAAACCGCTTTAATTGGGTACACACATAATATCATAGCTCTCGGAAGGATGTTAATTTCGCAAGTTATTTAGCAAAATTCTAATACTCAGACATGATGGAACAGATTATCTTCCAACCTTCCATTTTCCTATAAAATATTTACCTTACAGAAATATATACAAAGGGATTTATTAAAACTCTTTGTTGTCTTGCCAAAAGGAAATACTTTGAATTTCAGATGCAACAAACTTTCTGGACATCCTTTTACATTCAGATACTAGCTGTCTGGGTATCCATGAAATATCCTGATCTCTTTCAACTTTTTCATGATTTATTTTGGTTAATTTAGGGTTGTTCCACTGTGATCTCTTTTAATATATATTATATTTAAAATATATGCACATATGCATATGTGTATATTAATTCCAAAAGGGTTTTAAGAACTTTTTACAATTTATATTATTAAAGAATTAGCAATGGATTTGCCCCCTGCCCCTCTGAGACAAAAAAACCTCCACGTAATCTCCTTAGCCCCATGGGAGTCTTCAAACAAATTATTTCAATAAGTGCACATACTCGTATCCCTGCCTTGGTCATGGGGTCCCTTTGTACCTGCTTAACACCAACCTTTGGTGTAAGTGTAGACTTTTTATATCAAGAGGGCTATTGAAACTTTGATCAATATAGGTCTAATTTAAATTAATCTGAATTCTTGCTCTTAGGCCTTAGAGATTACATTAGGATATCTCTCATACCATATAATACCATAATCACTTCCTGGAAAATTTGTAAAGGTTCCACAAAGATGTAACTTTTCTGAAAGACATTTGATGAACTTTTTGCAAGAGTGTCTGTTCAAAGCATGACAAGTCAGAACTTGTTAGTTGTCAGTGTCTCTTCTTGGTACCAGTTCAGGTCTTTTTCTGTTGACAATAATCAGAGTTACTAATCTATGACCAGGTAGTTCATTCTCCCTCAGTTACTTTATTGGAAGATACTCATCTTGGAAGACAGCGACCATCAATGGAAGGTTATGTGGGAAGTAATCTTAAAACAGAAGTCAGACTGTGGGCGATACACATTTGTCAGCCCCAGAAAACTGCTAGGAATAAATGCAGAGTGGATGACATGTTAGGAACAACAATTAATTTCAGATAACATAAAAACTCACCTGAAACAAACGAACAATTTAACCTTTATCTTAATAAAATCTCATTGTAAGCCCCAGTATCTATTTTCCAATGGTTTCCTAGGCTAGAAAAAATGTGTAGGCTTGTAGAAACGAGTGGCCATTTATTGCAGTTAAAAACAGAGATGTTCTTGTTGCAATGGAAGAAGAGGACCCAAAGCTCTTCCTTCTGCTTCTCTTCTTTCGCAATTCCTTGAGTCTTTGAGACCAGTTCAAGAACAACTAATTGAGGCAATCCCTAAAATACAGCAAAGTGGGAATTTGAGACTTCAAAGCAAAGGATTCTGGGGAAATTTATTTCAGGCTTTCTTTGAGATGAAAATCATGCATTTATGTTGTTGTTATGTGCCGTGGAGTCGGTTCCGACTCATAGCGACCCTGCACAGGGTTTCCGAGGCTGTTAATCTTTACAGGAGCAGAACGCCTCATCTTTCTCCCGTGGAACCGCTGGTAGTTTCGAACTGCTGACCTTAAGGTTCGCAGCCCGATTCGTAACCACTACACTACCAGAGCTCCTTCAGTACTAAATATGATTACATTTTGGGTAGTACATAGTAGCCTGCCCAACATTTTCACATCCCTACTTAATTTGACCTTCACATCAATCAAATAACATAAAGTTCCACTTTATGAGGAAGGGAATTAAAGCTCAGAGAGATTGATTTGTATGTGATTAAGGAGCAAAGTACGGACTGAAGAATGACATCTGATTCATACATTGTTGTTGTTGTTATGTGCCGTGGAGTCGGTTTCGACTCATAGCGACCCTGCACAGGGTTTCCGAGGCTGTTAATCTTTACAGGAGCAGAACGCCTCATCTTTCTCCCGCGGAACCGCTGGTAGTTTCAAACTGCTGACCTTGAGGTTCGCAGCCCGATTCTTAACCACTACGCTACTCTTTTCCAGCCTAGCACATTATTTTAAAGCCGCTAGATGGCACACATAGTTTATAGTTGACTGCTATTCTAAAGATTGGTGATTGAAACACATTTAGCAGTGCCATGAAGAAACTTCTGGCAATCTGTTTCTTTAAAGAGATCTCTATGGAGCAGTTCTACTCTTTAGCACATGGGGTTGCCATAAGTTAAAATCAACTTGAGAGCAATGGGCTTGGGGTGTTTTTTGCCTTATATTGTCTCAGGAAGTAAATCTCTCAGTGTTTACATTCAGAGGAAGCCTTGTTAGTGAATGTTTGTTGTTGTTGTTGTTGTTATGCGCCATGGAGTCGGTTCTGACTCATAGCAACCCTGTACAGGGTTTCCAAGGCTGTAAATCTTTACAGGAGCAGAAAGCCTCATCTTTCTTCCACAGAACAGCTGGTAGTTTTGAACTGCTGACCCTGAGATTAGCAGCTCAATTTGTAACCACTACACTACCAGAGATCCTTTAGTGAATGTTTACAGGGGACAAATGAATGTTACAGGTTTCTATTGACTTTTCCGTAGGCAAAATCATGAAGTAAGGGAGTTGATCTTGCACCCCTTTTATCTATTGTAGCTTCTGGAGTGCCTGTTCTTTTTAAGTTCTCAGTACTCTCATGATATTGCCTGTGATTAGAACAACTACTTAGCACTGGTATTTCATGATATAAATCCCCTTTGGAGCTTGTTTACATGTTAACAAAATAACTGGCTAGGAAATTTTCTAATGCAAAAAAGTGGGAAACCTGGGTGATCAGCATTTTTCTGCTCTTCAAATCACCTGAAGGTGATTTTACATACTGCTGACTTTGTTGAACATCAAAAAAGGCATTACTTCAAGTAAACATCAAGAATCATCGCAATGTTATTACTATTTTTCCAATTTTTCACAATATGGTGAGAAATATGAACATGCTCCTAATTGCTTGCTGCTATTGTTATGTTGCAGGGGTTGTGTTTCACTATAGGGCTTCAACCAGCAGGTACACTTTGAATTTTGAGGCTGCAAAACAGACTTGTTTGGATGTTGGTGCAGCCATAGCAACTCCAGAGCAGCTCTATGCAGCCTATGAAGATGGATTTGAGCAGTGTGACGCAGGCTGGCTGGCTGACCAGACTGTTAGGTAAGTGATCGACAAGCCACAAACTTTTAATACATTAATTAAATGTGAGAGAAACTACCACTTTGTACCCATTAATTTACCTAGATATCCCATTCGGACACCACGAGAAGGCTGTTATGGAGATAAGATGGGGAAGGAAGGAGTCAGGACCTATGGATTTCGTTCTCCTCATGAAACTTACGATGTGTACTGTTATGTGGATCAGCTGGATGGTAAGGTGTTACCATTTGTATAGTTTCATTCACAATAAGAGAACTGAGGAAAGACATCCTGTAACGTTACATGTTTGTATGAATTCCAAACAGCAGCATTTAGTCTAAATGACAGTGTGGTTCTGTGGTAAAATAGGTTTAAATTAATGCAGAAGGAGGAGGGGTGTGTAAATGGTTATGCAGGTTAGAAATGTCATTTAGTTAATGGCAGGTTTTCTTACAGGCATGCTGCTATTGGACTCTTTCCAGTATACTTTTAGAGCATTAAGACTAGAAAGCTGTAATAGGCTTGTTATGTATTCTAGTGGGAACGTCAGGTAAAAATTCTTGTGATGACAAACCACTGGGAAGCCAAGTACTGACAGTGAAATAAAAATACTCCAGGGCTCTGAATAACCCTACAGAATAGTCTCAGGGAAATTCTAAAATTTCACATCTCCTCATGTTTATTCTGTGGCACTTATATGCAACCCTTGGAAATAGTCATTCAACCAATTAACATATTAAAGAACACCTACTGTGTGATAAATACTCACTTAGAATATGAAGCCAGGTATAATATTGTTGTTGTTAAGTGCCATCCAGTCTATTCCTACTCCTTGTTAGGTGCTGTTGAGTCAGTACCAACTCATAGGGACCTTATGCACAACAGACCAAAACGCTGCCCTGTCCTGTACCAACCTCACAATCATTGCTACACTTGAGCCCATTGCTGCTGCCACTGGCCTTTTGACTTGAAATTGGAGGGAGTTGAGGGTTGAAGGGAGTTCCTGAGTGATATAGTTAATGGGCTCAGCTACTCATTGAAAGTTGGATTTTTTTAAACCATCCAAGGTATCCCTGAAGAAAGTTCTGGTTATCTACTTCTGAAATATCAACCATCAAAAAGTCTATGGAGCACAGTTCTACTCTGACACACATGAGGTCTCCATGAGCTGGAATCAGCTCAATGACAACGGTTTTGTTTGTTTGTTTGGGGGTTAAAGAGATTTGTGGCTAATGAGGTAAGAAAAAAAAATCACAAAATCATTTTTGTAAGATATTTCTCATTCCTTTGCTGAAGTGTATGTCCCTTGGAAATCAAGATTATTTGTTTCTGTGGAGTGATAAAAATATATGTGGAAAAGTTGACTATATCAAATTACATCTGGTATTTTAATAGCCACATTGATAAAAGATTACTTTGTGAGCCAAAATTCCTTATATGAGATATTCACTGCAGTATTTATGGATATATAAGTTCCACCTTTATTTTATTGTATTTCTGAGAGCCAAGTGTGTGTAAGAGGTGTTGAGCAGTCAGAATGAGAGATTCTGACTGTCATTGTAATGGAATATTTACACAGACTTTAGGAACAAAGCCATATTTGCATGGGCTTAAGAAAAACAATTTACTTGATTAAATTCATTAAAAATGAAATTTTATTGTAATTAATTTATTTATTGTGAAAGATACTTAGCTGACAGAACATCAACCTTCTGTTTTTTATCCTTTCTTGTAATGTCATATTCATTCTGACATTGTTTCTCTATAAAATTCAAAAAATTTCACTAAATTCAGCCATATTGAGATAAAAACAAAAACAAAAAAACTTTGTTACTTCTTCTAAAGTGGTTATAACACAGTCATTTTTAGGAATATAATATTCAAACTCTACGTTTAAAAACCACCACTGATCTGTCAGTTTGTTGAACTATAGTGACTTGTATGTTGCTGTAGTGCTGGAAGATATGCTACCTGTATAATAAATACTAGTAGGGTCACCCATGGTGGCCAGCGAAGCTTCCAGACTAAAACAGACTCTGATGAAGAACAGGCAGATCACTTCTGATTGGTTAGCCACTGGAAACTTTATAAATAGCAGTGGAACATTGTCAAATACAGTGTTGGAAGATGAGCCCCTTAGCTTGGTAAGCGCTCAAAATATGACTGGTGAAGATCTGGAGCAAAGCTTTTGGGACCTTCATTTGCGGATGTTGCACTACTCAAAACAAAAGAAACAGCAGCAAATATCCATTAATAATTAGGATGTAGAATATTAGAACAATTGAAAGTTGTCAAAAATGAAATCAAACATGTAAAGATCAATATCTTAGGCATTATGAGCTGAAATGGACTGGTATTGGCCTTTAAAATCAAGCAGTCATTTGGTTTACTATGCTGTAAACAACAAATTGAAGTGGAACAGTGTCGCATTCATCATCAAAAAAAGCATTTCAAGATCTATCTTGAAATACAATGCAATACAATCTTGAAATACAAAGGATAATATTCATACATGTACAAGGAGGACCACTACTATTAAATTTACTAACCATCTAAAGCCAGTGATGCTGAAATTGAAACATTCTACCAACTTATTCAGTATGAAATTGATTAAACATACATTCAAGATGCATTGGTAATTAATGGTGATTGGAAAGCGAAAGACAGAAACAAAGTGGAAAGATCAGTAGTTGGAAAATATGAAAATACTGAAGATTGCATGATAGAATTTTGCAAGACCAACAATCAAAACCAATGCAAATACCCTTTTTAAAAAAAACATAAAAAGTGACTATATACATGGACCTAACTAGATGGAATACACAGGAATCAAATTGACTATATCTGTGGGAAGAGTCAATGGAGAGGCTCAATATCACCAGTCAAAACAAGGCCAGAGCTGACTATGGAATAGACCATCAATTGCTCATTTGCAAGTTCAGGCTGAAGCTGAAGAAAATTAAAATAATTCTATGAGAGGCAAAAATATGACTTGAATATATCTCACCTGAGTTCAAAGACCATCTGAAGAGGAGATTTGATGTAATAGACTCTAATGACCTAAATCCAGAAGAGTTGTGGATGACATCAGGAACATTATTGATGAAGAAAACAAAAGGTCTTTATAAAGACAAGGAAGGCATAAAAGATCAGAATGGATGTTGAGGAGACTATGAAAATTGCTCTTGCGTGTGAAGACGCTAAAGTGACTGAAGGGAATGAATAAGTAAAGGGCTGAATAGAAAATTTCAAAGGACAGTTTGAGAAGAACAAAGTCAAATATTATAAAGAAATATGCAAAGACCTGGAGTTAGAAAACCAAAAGGGAAGAACATGCTCATCATTTCTCAAGCTAAAATAACTGAAGAAAAAGTTGAAACCTTGACTTGCAATACTGAAGGATTCCAAGGACCAAATATTGAATGATGCAGGCATCACAAGTAGGTGGAAAGAATACAGAGTCACTGTACCAAATGATTGATGTCCAACCATTTCAATAGATAGCATATAGCTTAATGGTGGATTAGGGAGAAGTGCAGTGCAGACATCCACCAGCAATATCAGAATACCAGATGAAGCAAGTTCAGGATCAAAGGTGTGCTCCCACTGCAGAGGTCTGACTAATCCTTGTAGATAAAGTTGTATACATACTTTTTTTTTTTTTCCTCTCTCTGTTCATTGGTCTCTTGGTATCTGCGTGCCTCCACTCTGGTGACTAGAGGGAGTGCCTGAGCAAGTGGACACTCCCCCACCCCTGGAGGGTTCTACTATGCATACACACGGATCTGCTCAGCAAAGACCATTGTGCACAGAATCTAAGAAAGGAGAAGACACTGCTTAAAACCGGAATGGTCTCCCAAAATGGCTACAGCCAGTCCTGAACTGTTTATCACTAGGAAAAAGTCCTGAACAGGGGTTATGGAGTGGGAGAGAGACACTAAAAAGGAAATAGGCTAAAAATTAAACCCTGATTTACATCATAAGGATTTCTCAGGTGGCCTGGAAGGCAAGAAGCTGAGACATGGGAGTTAAAGTCATATTCATATTTTGCTACAGATTTTTCCTTTTTTTTTTTTTTTTTTTTTTTTCTTCTCTCCCTCCTCTCCATTTTCTGTGATTATAGTCTACAGTATCCAGTCTAGTTTTTTTGTTGTTGTTGTTTTTGGAGGTTTTATTATTTTTTTTCTTTCTCTTTTTTTCTACCTTTTTGCTGTTGCTGTTTTGTTGTTTTTTTTATTCACCATTTACCTTTATGAGAATCTTTCTCTACCTATATTACCCAAGAAGGAACAGCAATTGCTGCCATGCAGTCAAGTTACAATTACACCCTATAAAACTCCACAATACAGGCAAAAACCAATACCAACTGCCATACACCAGGAAGGCAGACAACAGCTGTGAAAGTTACTCTGAGTTGAGCAATAATTTTTAGTATGTCCCACTCAGCTATTTTATATATTTTTATTTGTGTGGTTTTCAAAATGTTTTGTAGTCCATGTATTCCCATCATTAGTGCCTTCACATTTGTCCCAA